GAGCCATTTCGCTGTGAGGCAGGCAAGACAGTGCCTCGGGCCATGTGCTGACCCGCCGCCCTGGGCCCTGGAGAAAATGGAGAACCAGAGATGTCCGTGGAGCCACGCGGTTCCCTTCTGAGAACGACGGCCGGTGTCCTTGGCGGACGTAGCTTTTGTGTCCCCGCTAACGTGGGGCCTATTTTCACGTGACTCTGCTTGTGCTTTGCAGGTGGGCTCAGTGGTGGCGGTGGGCTGGATCCGCTCCCGGAAGGCCGTGGACTGGCGCCTCTTCAGGAACATCTTTGTGGCCTGGTTTGTGACGGTGCCCGTGGCCGGCCTGTTCAGTGCAGCTGTCATGGCGCTTCTCATGTATGGGATCCTCCCCTACGTGTGACTTGTCTCTCTCACCCAGCCCGCCAGGAACGGGGCGGTCTGGCTCGGGCACTCACAGGAGGTGTGTCCCACATAACACAAACGCACACATGCACACAGACACATACTCTCTCCCTCCCAGATCTAACATGCCCTGTCAGCCCGTCCCATAGGACGACACGGTTCACCTGGGCTGCCTAGATCCATCTTCCAGAGCTAACTTAAAACTACTGTACATAGTACTGTGTATTAAACTGGTATCGTGGTGATAGAACGTGGTGCAGTTATTTATATAGTTGACATATATTGTATACATAGACCAGGTAGCGTTTTTTCCAACATACTCAAAGTGGAAGTAGAGGTAATTGCCTAGAATTAAATCTCCAGGGCCTTTTTGTACATCATGATACCAGTGGCAAGTTTAAAGACCCTTTTGAAAGGAAAGCCGAGATTGGAAAGTGGTTATTTTCCCATGGAGGCTGCGGTTGGAGTGAGGGGTGCCGGTGGCCAGACTGCTGTGGAATCACACTAGCAGCAGGGCTTCACCAGTGCTTTCTTTGAAGAAGCTGTTCACATACTGTGTACCGATTGTTGTGTAAGAATGATGTCTGTAAATACTTAAAACTGTTAAATTTTTTAATGGTGTGCTTCCCTTATACGTCTTTGATCAGAGAATTTTAGAAAGTACCAAAGAAGCAGGGAAATAGTCTGCCAGTATTATATTTTCCTATTGTCTCTCTCCCCTGTCACTCACCACTCCCCTGAGCCTGGGAGATAGTCAGTCAGACCAGCCGTGCTGTCACCCGCCCCAGCCACAACATGGACCCCCCCAGCCCCACCACCCTCCAGGTGGGGGTCTGCAGACTGGGGGCCAGATTAAACACTACATATCGTGTCCAGTTAGAGGTCCATCCCATCTGCGCTTGCAGCCTGCGGAGCAGAAGTCTTGTCTCCAATACAGAAGCCAGGGATGCGGCTTTGGAATAGGCTCTGCCGCTCTGGAAATTCCCCTGGGGTGGGGGCCTGAGGTACTGGAGAGCACGCTGGATTTGAGGGTTTCCTTGGGGCCTTTCCGAAGCGGAACATCTTGAGGCTCTACTGATGGGTGGGACAGGGGCCGAGAAGACCGACATGTCAGAGCCTGAAACTATGGAAATGCTGCTAAAATTTTTATATTGACAAACATCGGTATTTCATTGTGATTTTTCATTAATCAACCATATTAAATTTATAATAAAAAATTGGCCCATAAGAGCTTGCCTTGCAAGTCTTTTTTTCGAACTGTGTCCAAATTGTTTTCTCGTCTCCACCAGAAAAAAATAACGAAAGCGATACCATTTGGTCACTTCCGTTTTTCATGTATTTTGAGATTTCTTTATTTCACGACACACTTTTTCATGTCTTGCTGCAGAAAGTGAGCCAGGAAGGGACAGAGCCTGCCACAATCCCTGCTTGCTGAAACCCTGCCACTGCCGCTGCTGTGGCCATTCACGGGGACCCTGTGCATCACGCCCGTGATGCCTTGTTAGCCTTGCCCCTTCCCTCTCTTAGCCAGGCTTCAGAGGAGCCAATGCTAGAGAGGAGTGTGATAGGCTGAGTTGACTAGGGAAACAAATCCAGAGACACATATGTGTAAGAGCTTTATATCAAGACGTAATTGTATATCAGGAAGACAGCCCCGTCCATGAGTCCCCTGCATACTCAGGAAGCCACGTGCAAAGATGTATGATAGTCACAGGCCGGTGAGTGCAAGGCCTTATGGACCTGGCATGGTGGCTCACAATGGGAACCTTGGTCCCATTGCTGTCTCCTTGAGATTGTTTGCCTATCTACCTTGTATCGATAGACATCCCAGAAAAAGAGGGGAGGAAACCAAATAGTTCCAGGTCTAACTGCTGACCTTTGTGAATACCCCCCAACGAGCTCAGATGGGCTGCCAAGCATTAGCTCCACCCCCTCCCCAGTCAGAAGTCTGCTTCCAGGACTCCGGGCTTTGTTCCCATTGCTGATCTGTTGTACTCCTCGTGTGTTGCCCCCATTTGGGGAAGTCACACACACACACCCCACTGTATCTTCAGTGCTGTGACCTAGGGCGGAGACATCTTGTCTCCAGTTGGAAATGGCTCTGCAGTCCTCTCGGAAGGAGCTGCTCCGAGCAGGAACTTCACCCTCAGGGCTTGGTGCGCCAGGATTGTGACCATAACTATGGGGAGTGGAAAGCCTCATCTTTGAGCGGTTGGTGGTTTCAAACCAACCGCAAGATCAGCAAGCCAAATTGTCCCCCACTATGCCACCAGGGCTCCTGCTTGGCACTTTAGTCAGAACCAAACTCAATGCCAGTGAGTTGAGTCCACGGCATAGAGTCCCTAGGTAGGGATTTCAAGGTGGTAAATCTGTAGGGCAGTGGACAGCCTGGTCTTTCTCCCAGGAGAAGCTGGTTGGTGGGTTTGAACCGCCAACCTTGCAGTTAGCAAGAGCCCTAGAGTGCCACTAAGGCTTCATCTGGGCTCACAATCTCTGTTACCTTCAAGAGATGAGAGGGATTGGCCAGGTATAAAATTTTCACTCTGCAAAGGAATTTGCCCTGTCCCATTTCTTAAACAGCCATTTCAGCCCTTTACTTCCCACTTCTAATAAAGCAATGGCGGGAGAGAGTGGAGAAGAGTGAGCTGATATCAAGGGCACACGGGGAAAGAGAAAGAATGATGGCAACATATTTAAATATAAAAATGTTTGACACAGTGGATCGGATGGATTGTTATAAGGGCTGTAAAAGCCCCCCCAAAAATGATTTTTTTTAATAATAAAATTAAAGCCATGTGTTTTGTACAGTTCCATTTCCCCCTAAATTTATTTATTTCTAAGGAAAATAACAGCAGTGCAAACAGTCGTTTGCGGCCTTCAGACCTGCAGACACGTTTGCAGCCCCAGCCCAGGCAGAGGTGGAGTCCCCAGAAATGAACTAGGACAGAGGTCACCGTCACTAATCAGATGTCACCACTTTGAAAGCTCACTGTTGCCCCACCCCTCCCTGTCCACTCCAGCCAATGCAGCTTGAGTCACATCCTGGCACAGCTGAGATGAGCTGATTGCCCGTGAGGGGGAATCCTGGCAGCCCTGACTCCCAGCTCCAGGCGAGACCTGGGGACTGGCAGGCCAGGCAGAGAACTGGTCCTGCCCTGAGCCACCAACCTACGGGTCTACTTTGAGTCTCCTCTGAAGTCGTCATCGTTACTGGGTGCTTCCAAGCCCATTCTGACTCCTTGTGGCCCCCCATGTGATAGAGTAGAACTCTCTTGGGGTTTTTTCGGCCAAAATGGACAAAGGCAGATCACCCGGTCTCTCCTGAGGAGCCACAGGATCGTTTCGAACCACCAGCCATTCAGAGCCGAGCACTTGACTCGGCCACCAGAGCTCTCTGAATTTAGTACTCCTTGCCACCCAGTCGACCCTGGACTCAGAGCGACCCTGACCCCATAGAGCAGATGGAGCTGCCCCTGTGAGTTTCCCAGACGGCAGTGGAAAGCCCGTTCTTGGAAATGCAAGAAACTCTTCAGAAAGAAAGAAAAAGAATACAAAGCTGTAGCTCCTGAGTTTCTGGCCACGAGCTCACGCTAGGGTGGCAGCAGGGCATGGGGTGGCAGCAGGGCAGTGCCTTAGGGAGGAGCAGCCTTGGAGGTGGCAGGCTTCCCACTAGTTTGCGCTCCGCCTCGTTACAAGGGCAGCAACTGGACGGCACTGGCTGAGCGGGCCAGGGGCAGTGTTCTCTGCTTCCTGCCTTTGCTAAGGGACGGACTGGTCTTTTGGGCAACTATCAACACATGTATTCATTTTCAACAAGATAATAAGTCCTCCCCCTTTCCCCACAATAAATGATGGCAGCAATCCGAACACTGAGAAATGTAATGATCAGGGGCATCCGTGAGTTAGTTGCATTACAGAGTGGGGAGAGAACTTTCACCATGAGACCAAATGAACTTGAGTGGTCCCCGGCCGTTGTTGCACAACCACTGCCGGACATTTTGATTGAAGGCCATACAAGGCCCCTGATCAAAAGAGGGGGTGGGTTGGAACAGAACAGAACTACAAATGCTCACTGACTCCAGATATCCTGGAGTCACGCTGGTGCATGAACCCGTTGGTGGAATTCAGCCAAGTCTGGCAAGCTGGTTGCTAAAATGGCACTTGTAATCAGGGTCCTTTCTAGGGGCGGCAGGGCATCAGCCCAATGTGGAACTCACAAATGGACATGGCTTACTCTTTTTTAACGTCATCCGCACAACAGCATATTCTAAGAGTCCGCATAGCCATGTTCATTCCAGCCATCGGTATGAAAAATTGGAACGATGCTGGGAATATTTCCTTATTCATTTCATAAAACTCACTATACCTTCAATGGAATACTACATTTTTATTCCTTTTGTTGTTACTTCAGTAGACAAATACGTAACATAGAGATAAAAAGTGCCCCCCAACCAGAGGGTGACACACTGTTACTCGTTTCAGCTTTGGGTTATGCTCCAAATGCCCAAGAGATCTTATGAGTGCAATTCCTGGAAGTGCTCAAAGGGCTCCAGCTATGGTGAGAACAGCAGACGCAGAAAGGGGTCTTTCATGGATGAAGAGAAGTCTTCTGTGTCGAGTAGGTTGTTAGGGGCCATCGAGTCGGTTCTGGTCCATCGCCACCCTGTGCACAACAGAACCCAACACTGCACAGTCCTGCGCCTGTGACCCCTGTTTCAAACATGGTGTCCATCCTTCTTGAGGGCCTTCCTCTGTCGCTGCCCCTCCACTTTACCCAGTATGCTGCCCTCTCCTGGGACTGCTCTCTCCTCACATTGTGTCCAAAGTGTGTAAGATGAAGCCTTGCCATCCTTGTCTTTAAGGAGCCCCCTGGCTGTACTTATAAGACGGATCGGTTTGTCCTTTTAGCAGTCTGTGATACTAAAAATACTCTTCTCCAGCACTGTCATTCAAATCCATCAATAATTCTTCGGTCTTCCTTACGCAATGTCCAACTTTCCATGCATATGAGGCAATTGAAAATACCATGGCTTGGGTCGGGCACACCTTAATCCTCAAAGTCACATCCTTGCTTCTCAATACCCTAAAGCAGCGGTTCTCAACCTATGGGTTGAGACTGCTTTGGGTGTCGAACAACCCTTTCACAGGGGTCGCCGAAAGCCATCGGAAAACACATATTTCTGATGGTCTTGGGACCCAAGACACCGTTCCTCTATCCGCCTCCAGGCAGGTCCGCCCACATGCAAACACGCCCACATAGGAGTGCCCGGCGGGAAGACTGTTACCCATGCTGCACCGCGCTCAAGACAAAATTTCATTTACTTGTCATTAGAAATAAATATTTCACAATATAGAATTACATATTGTTTTGGTGATGAATCACTTTGGTGTCATTATGTTCAATTTGTAACAATGAAAATACCTCCTGCATATGAGATATTTACATGACAATTCATAACAGTAGCAAAATGACAGTGATGAAGCAGCAGCGACAATAATGCTGTGGTTGGGGTCACCACACCGGAGGACCTGTGGGAAAGGGTCTCGCCATGCGGAAGGCTGGGAAGCGCTGCTCTGCGCGTTGAGCAGCGCACTCTCTAAGAATCATCAATACGGGGCAGTGAACAACAGCAACTGGAAGGTTAGCTCGGAACCTGAGGGCACGGGCTGACGCTCCCGGGGAAGAGCGAGGCAGAAAAAGGCGGCTGGCAGGGGCTCGCTGTGCAGCGCGTGCTCCAAATGCTCAAAGGTGCGGGTGGAAAACGGTGAATTGGTTGGCAACAGCAACAAAAAGGACACGATTATAAATTCTTAAAGATGTGTGGAGAAAACAAAAGGCTCTTCAAGGGAGATTGTGCAATGTGCTTTATTGGGTCCTTAAAAGAGAGTTTTTAATCTAGACTCTTGGCTCAGCAAATTTGTCCATCGCCACGATTTTTTATTAAAAAAACAAACCCAGTGCCATCAACTCAAGGCCAACACATGGTGACCCTCTAGGACAGGGTAGAACTGCCTGTGAGTTTCTGAGATTGTAACTTGCCAGGAGTAGAAAGTTCCCTCTTGCTCCTGTGGAGTGGCTGGTGGTTTCGAACTGCTGACCTTGTGGATCGCAACCCAACTCGTAACTGCTGCTCCACCAGGGTTCCCTTAGGATTACTGATGGTGGCTCCTAATACAGGTGGAACTGGGTTCAGCTGTCAGCTTTTGCGCTCACTGAGTAATCTTGGG